GGTTTCGTGTCCGTTATTACACAATTTCTATCGTTTTTCAAAACGCTCTTGCCATATTCTCACCGTTGAGATTTTTCAGCGCTCGCTCTCCGTCTTTGCGGCTCATGAATGCAACGAAACCACAGTTCCTTTGTCTGGCTTTCTCCTCATCACTGCGCGGCCACATTATCTTTATACTGGCTAATGGACCATACTTTCCGAATATCTCCATTAGTTGTTGCTCTGTGATCTAAGGACAGAAAGGTAAGCGAATACGGTATAATGTAATAGTGCGTATCGATGATATAGCTCGGTAAAAAAGTATCGTGTTACCTTTGGATTCAAGTTTCCCAGATACAAGTTCGTAGTGTTCGGATCACCATTATCAAATGAACCATCTGCAAAAACGAAGGTCTCTCACTCTTGACCGTAATTACAAAGTAGGAGAAGATTGCAAGGATAAAGGTAAGGATAAGGACAATGGTTACCCTCATATATCAGGGCTAAGAGACGGAGATCATCAACGAAGTTATGCAGATTAGCCTTTCGCGGATCCGGATATGAGGGTATACTACCTACTGAAGTTATAATTATGCTGAAGACGTGAATGCTACCGTGACAGAGATATACTGGCAATTTCATTTCTAACGCATGGTCAATCTTACTATCTCACTGGAAAGTTTAGGGCCCTCCCCCCTTTCCCTAACCATATCACGTCAAATTAAAACGAACAGGTAGAAAATTTCGTGATACTCTCGCGCATACCTTCCACACACTTCAAAGCAGCCAGCATTGGATCTTCGGATTGCGCAGATATTACGGTCTTTACTACACCTTTGTACTTGTGTCTTTCCTCGCGCTCCTCCTGTATCATTTTTAGTTCCTCCTTGAATAATTCAAGATTGCTCTTCTTCTTCTCACCCTCCTTCTTCTTCTTGCCCAATCTGTCCATTTTTCTTTCATTCGAGCCGAGCAATCGTGCATATTCTTGAGCCTGTTCAGCCGATGATCTGTTATCGAGTAATTCTGAGATCTTTGACTGCGGCTTATAAAGCTTTCCCTTCTCTCTTGTATCTTCCTCTGCGAAACAAATGACTTATGAATCTGAGGATTTATATAAGATCGATTTTTAGAAATACACAACTGTGCAATCGCGTACTTACGTCTTTTGCCTGCGTCATATGTCCCTGCTTTAACCCAGACCTTGTTAGTTGTTTTGCTAGGAGTCTCTTGAAACGTAGCCACAAATTCTTCAAACGCCTGTGTTCAAACGACATAATGATTTATGTAAAATGGCCGGGCAGAACAAGAAAGTCAAGTTACCTGAGCCGCGCTCACCTGAGCCGCAGCTTGTTCCTGTTCCTTCTTTCGTTGTTCCTCCATTTCCTTCTTACTCATCGGGCGTTTACCCATCGTACCAATCGAGAAAGCCTTGAGCTTTTGCTCAGCAATTTGCTGGAAATACAAACAGACACGAAATTACGCGACTAAGAAAGAAATGCCCAGCGTGAGACTCTACCTTCATTATAGCCTTATCCGCCATTTGCCCGGATATGTTATAACCTAGAAGAGGTTAACACAAGTTGAGTTATACCTGTTTTAACTCCATTGCAATTAAAGCGGATCGAACGCACAATTGCAGTATTACATACGTTCGCAGAGAAATCTTGCTTTTATTCAACGTTGTTTTTATACAACGTTGAACAGCGGTAAACTGTTGAAGTGATAGTCGTTGTGAACAACGTGACAGGGTCGGATATATCACTGTATTTCCCGACAACGCGACATTCACGAATCTCTCGATCGATTCAGACCAAATTCCATGATTATAATATCCGACCGAGTGTGCATCATTATTTATTTACATAACTCACTAATATATTATAATTTTCAAAATGACTTCGCGAAGCGACAGCAAAATCCACAAAACACAGAACACTAAGCGTAGATCGGACATTCGACATGGATAAGATAACTTTTTTCCCTCCGGCGGGTCACCAACGCTGAAAGTCCCTGCATTAAAACTTGCTTGACGGGCATCCCTCGAGGAAGGCGTCCCCACCTATGCACTCGTAACCTGTGACTATTTGTTCGTCGTCCGTCGGATGAGAAGAGCGCGATGTTATCGACGAAGGCGCCGGGTAAAAGGAGCTTCCGACCGCACCGCCGCGTGCAATCGGCGGCGTCGCAGTCGCCAATCGAGCAGACGATATGAAATAAGTCGATATCGATTATTTCGTCCTTCACCTCCTCCAACATCGGTTGAGAACGGTCACAATGGACGACGGTGAGAACACGTATGTACGTAGCAGGAGGTGAATTACGTGATGTAATATTACAGTCAAACTCGTGTCGCAAATAATGAATCAGGTGTTCCTGCGACTTCTCGCGTTTAGAGTTCCACGAATCAGAAACGCGAATAACTGGGAGTTTTCGCAATACTGTCTTTCGAATACGGTAAACGCTAAAATGCGCTTCGATATTAGAGAGTTTTCGCAATAACGTCCCGGGAAAAAATGATTATATATATGATTATATATAATTATATAAAATCATATATGAATTTTGCCCAAATATAATAGTTACATATATGATCATACATGTCCATACGAAAAAAAAGGATATTATGTCACTTAATTAAATATCGATATCGTGTGCTGTTTGAAACACAAGTATAGCCAGAAGCATTTATTTCGATTGTATTTGCATATAATTTGTAAGCAACAGTATTTTCTCAGTTGTGGGCATATATGATTATATATAGTCATATTCGGACAAATTTCATGATCTTTTCTCCCCGGTGGGTTTTCAGATACGGTGAACGATAAAACGCGTATTCCAATATTCACTGCCGACACTTCAAATCCATAGATACGTAACGCAAACTGTAGACTCTCAGCACCGGCAGGAAATACCGGAACGCGCGTTCACCGTGTCTGAAAAACGTTATTGCAAAAACTCTCTGTTCACCGCCGGTACTGCAAATCTACAGTTTGTGCATTACACATCTACAGATTCGAAGCGCTGGCGGTGAGTACCGGGACCGCGTTTTAGCGTTCACCGTACCTGAGAAACGCGTTATTGCGGAAACTCTCGAATGATGTGTCATACGGAACGTAAACGGCACCGAGAGCGGCGAAGGGTGTGATTGCAAAATGGCAAATGAGCGAGTATAATAATTCGGGAAGGAAAGCGAGATCGTTGCTTTACCAAATTAATGAAACGCCGCTATTTACAAACACGACGAAACCTTGGAGATCGCGGCGAGGGTGACCCCTCGGCGGTTGCCAAACACATTTGTCGTTACATCCTCGCCCGGAATACTCGGCGTGTATCGACGCGATCTTTTTTTTCGCACGCCATTTTGCATTTTTCGATCGGGCGCCGAGGACGCTCCGGGGATGCTCAGTAGCGGTGAGACGTCCGCGCGCTCGCTCGCAATTTCTCGGCGTAATCGAGTGAGATTTCGCCTCTTCGCTCCGCGCCCTCGGCCGCTCTCACGAGCCGCAAACCCCGAGCCCAGGACATTCACGGAGATATTTTGGCGCTTCGGCGGGCGCCTCCGCCACCACCGGACCGGCCAACTCGCGAGGATGTGGTGGTGATTCCACCCCCTACTCCCTCCGGTCGCGATACACAGAGCGACGAACAGCGACGCCTCCGCGCGGCGTCGATCAATAACATCGCCGCCGGACGACGCCGACGTCGGGAGAGCGTTGTCGCGCTTACGAGGGATCGGCGCGACGCGGACGGGACGCCAAGCGTCGTGTCATCATCATCGTCGTCGCGCGCGCGAGAGAGAGAGAGACTCGGGTTACACACCATACGTTATATCGGAGCAAGGTACGCGCGCGGAGGTAAGCGCGACGACGTGGAGACGGCGACTGGGGAATGCGCGAGTGACGTCCCCGGCGTGCTTTTTCACCGAGGAACTCGCAGGGCCCACGAACGACGAGGGAGAACCGTGCACCGCCGAGTCGCCGAGGTCCCACCCACGACATGGCCAAGGTGAGTCGCAAACCGAATATCACGCGTCCGATGAACGAGCGAGTTCGATTCGCGAATAACGACGTTCGATTCTACCAATCCGCAGCGCGAAATCGCGAACGTCCGTGTGCGACGAGCTGTTCCCCCGAGCATTTCCCGGCGCGACGGGCAGTTGGAAGCAGCCACGATATACGGTTCATGACTCGTGACGCGAAGACCGGATAAAAGGCGAAAGGTTACGGTGTGTGTGATGGACGTGTGGTAATAACATAAATCTTGGCGAGAGCAGTAGCGTTTTAATCGGACGTCTCGTTTACATTTCTTCGCTCATCGTACGCATCGCCGTGAGGAGTACAAAGAGTTAGTTGAAGAGAGAAAGAGACTGTTGATCGATCGATCTTCGGACGAGTCAATCACGCCCGATCGAACTATTGTACATTGTACGGAGCTACGTGACTGTTTGATTTGATCAGGCTGCCGCGCGCGTATCGATTTCAAATCTCGCCGATCCACACGTAGGATCGAGCCGTGACCCCCGAGACTCCGTTAGTTAAGGGAGAACAAAAGGGAAGAGGAAAAAAGAAATACGATACCCGTATGACAATACCGAACGAAATAGATCCACAGTTGGTTAGCATGCACGGGGCGAAGTATGATGCTGCTTTTACATAATTTAGAGCACGTTCCACCGCTCGACGGCGCAGACGCGGCTAGGTAATCTGAACACTGGCGAATTTCCCAGTGTCCCGGTTAGACGAGCCACGAATACGCGTGGACAGTGCCGAATGGACAATTTTCCGATTGAATCGAGATGCACGCGTATTCGGGCGGCGTCGGAGTAACGGATGAGCGGGCTTCAGAAATGCAACGCTAACGGAATCCTCGACTATCAGCCGTGTGCGAGCGGGTCCGGTGAAGTCTTAGCTCGAAGTTCCATTATTTTTCGCTGAACTAAGCTACATATACATGTGTGTGTATATATAATATATAAATAAAAAAATATAGAGAAATATGTAAATTATATGTAAATAATAGAAATTAAGAGAGAGAGAGAGAGAGAAAGAGAGAGAGACACACACACACACACATACAGAGTTCTCAGCATAAGGAGAACATCTGAATATCTCGAAGACCTAAATATGAGGACTTGAAAAAAATCGAAAAAAATGACCGTAGGAAGATTTTCCTTTTCCACGATATTCCTTCTTCGAAACCATTCAAATTGTGTTCTAAAATTTTCCATATTATTAAAAATAAAGGAGATATTTAGATATTCTCTTTATGCCGGGATACCTTGTACATATACAGAGTGTCTAAAAATTCCCGCATACGGAGCTTATGGAGAAATTTGTTATATCAAAGGAAATAACTTTTTTCTTGACCAAAATTGAGTTCGAACAATAGTATCCAAGAAACAAGCGATAGAAAAATGGAGGTTTTCGCGAGCTAAGCTTCGGGTGAACAAATGGGTGGCAAAATTATCTTCTCCGGTCTAATTCAAGTAGACTTTACTGAGACAGAATTTTAATCCATAGCTTAAAAGATGTGTTACGTTGAAAATTGAAAAGTCACTCTAAGTAATGACCTTTCCCAACATTTTCGCTGAGGAAAAAGTTATTCCTTCCGGTACGAAGGATCTCCCTGTGATGCGGAAATTTTGGGACACCCTATATACAGTGGACGAATAAATATAGAAATAAAGTCCATAAAGGGCGCGGCGCTAACTCGGAAGCCGGATTAATTACTTCTCCATACTGCGAAAGTCTAAAATATCACATACATGTATATATATATATATATATATATATATATTTATTTATTTATTTATAAAATTACATTGTTATACAAGCGAGCCACATAAGAAAACACGGCGCTTACACACACGATCACGCGATTCGCCATCGGCGAGTCATACGGCTCGCCACACCGTCGGCACGCGGATTCACGGATTGGTGAATGCAAAAGCCGCGTGTTCCAACAGAATGAAGTAATTGTTGTCGTCGTCATCGACATTCGTATGCTCGCTAGCTCACCAGCCAGCTAGCTAGCTCGCCTGCTCGCTCGCTCGCCGTTCGTTTTCTCAATGCGATGAACGCTCCCGCTCGCGAAGCTGCGAATACGTGGCTGGTGGTGGTGGCGGTGGCGGCGGTGGTGGCACACCGGGCACCGCACACAGGCCCCAGCAGGTGTAGAGCCGGGGATCGCGAAGCGAATCCGGAACGTTTCATGTATTGTCGTACACGCGTCGGCCGCAACGACACACGATCGTCGGCCGTGGCCTGTCGTTAGTCGTTATCGATCCTCCGTTTACATTGCGCGATTCCCGTTTCTCTTCCTCGTTCTTTTTCTCTCCCCCTACCCCCCTCTTTCTCTCTCTTTTTTCCCCTTTTTTCCGCGTTTTCGTCATTGCCTCTCTGTCTCGTACCGCCGGGGAAAACCGCCGATCGGCGCGGCGCGTGTGTGTGCGTGTGTGTCAGTGGAAAATTTTCACGATCGATCCGGCGCCGTGTGTCAGCGATGCCGATAACACGGGGTACGTTCTTCCTATAGCCGTTTCTCGCGCTCGAGCTCTATCCAGGTGAAAATACCTGGACGCCGAGCGGAAGAGTAAACAATAGCTTCCATTCGCTCGCGGTATGTGCACGGTGATTTGCGACGCGATTCGTTAAGAAAGGATCGTGTTATAACAGTCTGTCGGGAATTAATTGCCACTTTTACAGCACGGTATAGATCCATGCCGATAGCCGATAGTGCTTTACACGGCATTTTGCGGATTCGAACGGGTGATTATTTCAATCAGCAAATTAATCGCCGCGCGCGCGCGCGCGAGAGAGAGAGAGAGAGATAACGCGATACCGGCGTTGCGATAGCTTATCTGCACGAAGAAGATTATATTCCGATACTTCTCCACGGACCTCGAAACGCGACAGGACGCGAAATCGCACACGGAAAAAAGGAATTAACTGTCCACACAGTAGTGAAATTCAGTCACCAGATCTCATTTTTAGCTGTGGAAACTGAAAATTAGATGCACGGAGATAATATTATATAGTAAGAATTACCACGAAATTTTGTAACGTTGGACCATACCGGTGTTATGACTGAAATTATTATCACATACGTTGTAATATGTGTGTCTTTAGTGATGAATACAATCGTTCGTGATGAAGTACATCGTTTAAGATTACAACACACGTCATAATTCAGAGTTGTCACAAATCTGGAAAATCGGGTGAACCGGGGAATTGAAAATGTCAGGGAAAACCTGGAAAAGTCAGAGGAAGATATGCATATAACAAAATCTGGAATTTTCAACTTGATTTACAATTCCCTTAAATGCTCTCAACTATTCTCTTTTCCAATACTCATTTATTTTTGTCGGTCCGAATTTGCATTCAAGATTATATTATGTTACTGAACTTTTAAGTTTGTGTTGCTTCTAATAATATAAGCCACCCTTCCTGCAATCCCTGTTTCTGAACGTTAAAGTTTAAAATTACAGATTGTACTTATGGAAAATTCTCCACGGTCGTCTGGAAAACATGGAAAAGTCGGGGAATTTCAAAATTCATTTTCTGCGGTGAGCCTGTAATTTCAGTTGTAATTCCTATATGGCCCAACGTTACAAAATCTTGTAGTAATTCTTACCACAATATTTCCTCCCGAGTTACAGGGACATGAAAAATTAGCAAAATTAACTGAATATCAATTTGCATTATACGGACAGCCAATTTTTACCCCGTGGAAGTATTACTTTTTAGCCGAGTGAGCTGCTTTTTAGTCGCGAGAGCTGTTTCTTTTCGCGTTTCGCGCGAGTTTCCCGATTGTCGATGCCGAATCGACCGTCAGACTGTCGCGCGCTCCTCCTCGACATGTTGACATTGGCAATGATAACGATCCCGACGGGGTCTTATGTAACGTTCAGATAAGCGCGACGTTGCTACACGTCCAAGCGGGAAATACCACGCGCGCGCGCTCCTCAATAATTCCGAGAGCGGGCGAGCGCGCGCTTCTGCCCGCGTTCCTGCGCGCGTTTCATTAGCGGGTTTAATCTGTGATGATCGAGATCTCTCTCTGGAACGGCGTCGGGAAACTCGACGACGGTCTATCGTGAGCACGCTCGTCGGCCATGCATTCCATTGAAATTATAATCAATTGAAGGTACACAACGGCCACATCGTCGACGGCCGGTCGGTGTATTACAAGTCACACACTGCCGCCGTTCGTGCGCGCGCGCGCGCTTTTACGCGCGTTAACCTGATTGTACAACTCGCGCGAATCGAGCGATCGCGCGCGCCACGCGAAATTCCACGATATATTGTATAATAATTCGACGGCCGACTCCTGTCTCTCTCCCTCTCTCTCTCTCTCTCTCTCTATCTATCTATCTATCTATCTATCTCTGTCTGATCGCCTTCGGGCGATAGAGAAAGGGGACACGTGTGCATACGTGTGCGGCCGACGATTTAATAAAGTGCAGACTCTCGCGAGCACGCTAATTAGATTGCATTATTATTCATCCGAGAAGCAAACGCGAAGGAGGATTTATCACTCGCGCGGTATATACGCGCTGTTTCAACGCGGTTTTCTACCTACGATTCGTCTCGTCTCGTCTCGGGAGGCAACAAAGCATGACTGGACACGCGCCGGCGCAAATTGGCGCGAATTAAGCGCTAAGGATAAAACTTATGCTCGATTTGGCCTTTTAGACGCTCTGTCGTCCATTGTCGTCGTCGTCGTCGTTGTCCGGTCTCTCGCTCCGGCATGCAAAATTTATGCTGTCTCTTAATTCAGCTCACGTTCCCTTTCCACGATCAGTCTCACGATCGGTCGCGCGACTCTGTTCGCTGACTCGCCGGTTTTTTCACCTTGGCATTTTACTACCGCGTCGATGACGACGGCGACGACGGTGACGACGTAGCCGCGTTTACGCATTTGCATATCCAGATATCCGCGCGAAAAGTCCACGTGTACGCGCACGGAGGAAATGAATTTCAATAACGCACGGATCAAATTCTCTG